GTTCATAGTCAAGAATAAAGATATTAGTAAACCTTTCAATGAGATCATCAAACACAAAGACCTACAAATTTCAACTACCCTGGGATGAAACCCAACGACCTTAGTAAAACTTGTTTTGTCTGCCACCAATATGGTATTACACAATCACATATGATGGTAGCTGTAAGACCTCATCCCCCAATCCCTAGGTAGCCAAACAATGGTCGATAACAGAGAAGCATCTTCCAAAGTTTTTCTTTCATTAGCCGACAGACAGGAAACTCTGTTCACGGCACTTTGAAGCCAAGATCGATAACTTAAGTTTTGTACTGCTGGTGTCTACCACACAACCACACAACACTCGTTTAGTTAGACGCCATTTTCTCGGTATTTACATAGCACGTGTCAAGTTGTTATTGATTTGCAGAAGGCGGTATTCTTTCTTTTAATAATTTATCTTGAAGTTTTAGAAAAAATAATGGGTAAAATGCTTTAACGTTTAAAGCACAAAAGAAAACTGGAAAAATCAATTTTTGCGGTAGGAAAAATTTCGTGTGCATAAACTAGACTATTACACCGGGAAAAGATATGTTGAGTGAAAAGTGATAGCTTAAAATAATTAGATGTTTTTCTTACCCTTAGACATGTGCGTTATTCGACAATAGTTTGGAAATTCAAGTATTTAAATTTTTAAAATATATTTTAAAGTTTAGCATAATTTTTTAGGACATAAAAAATGTGGTTTTAGGTTCTTTGTTTTGTAGTCCTATGATCTAAGCCATGTAACGGCTAAACCGAAAGTCTCGAGTTCGAATCCGGGTTCAAGTTAGTGGAACGTCCCTGTGTCCACCCAGCTCTGATGGGTACCTAACTCACATTAGCGAAAGTAAAGGCGGCTGGGCATAGTCTGATCACAATATCCTTTCATATGCCAAGGTCAAGAAATATATAAACTCTACTTCATCTGCCTAATGGACGACTAAAGAGGAAAGTTTACTTTTATGATAGTGTCTAATTTGGACAGAAAAAAATATATTTATATGAAGGATAGATGAATGACTATCATCGTATAATGATTGGCCTTAAAAATTAATTTAATTTAAATTTCATGATAATGAAAATGATGATGATGATGATTGTGATGATGAAGATGAGAATGTTGATGATGATGATTGTGATGATGTTGATGATTGTGATGATGATGACGATTGTGATGATGATGTTGATGATATTTATGATGATGATGATGATTGTGATGATTATGATGATGATTGTGATGATGATGATAAATGTGATGATGATGTTGATGATGTTGATGATTGCAATGATGCTGCTGCTGCCGATGATAATGATTGTGATGATGATGATGTTGATGATGTTGATGATGTTGATGAGGATTGTGATGATGATGAGGATGATTGTGATTGTGATGATAATGTTGATGATTGCAATGATGCTGCTGCTGCCGATGATGATGATGGTGATGCTCATGATAATGATGATGATAATGAATTAAAATCCAAAAATTCGAAATGTATAGAAAAGCCAAGGAAGACAACTGTGAAAACGTCAGCAGGATCCCTGGGTCTAAATTTTAGATTAACAAACGTTCTTTGTAATTTAACGTCCCAGGGGTTATGCACGAGCTGACCTCTTGAATTTGAATATTTGAAGTGACGTAAAAGCTACTTAAAGGGGAGGTTTAAAACTAATTTAAACTTGAAGTAGTTTCAATTATCTACTCACCGTTGAGTCTGTTTAGTGTAAATTTTAAGACTTAACACAGAGTTATCCTATTTACAAGACTTAACACAGAACTTATCCTATTTACAAGACTTAATACAGAACTTATCCTATTTACAAGACTTAACACAGAACTTATCCTATTTACAAGAATTAAGACAGAACTTATCCTATTTACAAGACTTAACACAGAACCTTATTATATTAAAACATTTACAAAAAATTCGCTGGTATGTTTGTTTTAAGGTGGTAGGCTCCAGAAAAAAATCTCGGAAGAAAACTCTACTTAATTAGGATACTTAATTAGGATACTTAATGAAAACTAATTGCATGCATCAAGGACTCTTCTGAAAGTGTGTTTGCCATGACAACGGCGACCATCTTGAAAAAAAACACCTTTTGTGGATGCCTCAAGGTTAAAAAACTTACATATTGATCATGTAATAATCGGCATTAATTTTAATGGTATTTCACCATACCAAACTTTGAAAATTCGAAATAAATATTTCGAGAGTATTTTCTGCTATAAAAATTAGCCAGCTGATTCTATTAGAGTTAGTAAAAGAAAAATCAATGCTTTCATGATCAATATATACGTTTGATTTTTTTTTAATTTTGAGACCTCTACAATAGGTTTTTTTTCAAGATGGCCGCAACCATATTTTCCTAAACGTATCCTTAAATACACACAAACAAATAAATAAGGCAAATTGATTAAGAAGTTTCTATCCGGAGCCTACCCGCTTAAATTATTTGTCTTTAAAGGTCGAATGTTCTCGAGAAACCAATGTTCTGGAATCATCAGAGATATACCTGGTATTGTCGTCGGCAATACCTTAATGAAAAATAATTTTAATTCGTTTCACTTTTTTCTTCAACGAAACATCTTTGAAAACGAAAATTTAGACAATTATTAGGATGAAACAAATGTAACATGTGACAATTGTGAGATGATTTCCGTGACATTTAGCACAAATTGAAAACAACATTTAGCGCGATAATTGCACAAAATGTCGACCATTGAAAATCAAATATCAGACTTTGCCCACCTTCGTTCGCAGGTGCCAGTCAAATGAGAAATGGTTGCATCAAAGGTCAAAGAAGAAGAATTGGAAGCTTTCTGACGCCCCCACAAATCAATAATCAGGGGACAGCAGTTCTAAAGACGATTGGTCGGAGATTGGCTTTCAGAAATGTCTTGTTTCCTTGGTCGGTGGAGGTTCGCAGCATTGGTTTACAAAAGATTAATTACGTTTTCAGACAGGCAACATTGTGTTTGTAGCGATGGAAAACATTGACTAGAGAGTTCTGTAGGAAAATGACAGTGGTCGGCCACCGATATGTGGCATTATATGGGCCCACCGTCATTACAGCGGTCCACCCCTTATATATGGGCCCACCGTCACCACAGTGGTCCACCTCTTATATATGGGCTCGCCGTCACTACAGCGGTCCACTCCTTATATATGGGCCCACCATCACTACAGCGGTCCACCCCTTATATATGGGTCCGCCGTCACTACAATGGTCCACCCCTTATATATGGGCCCACCGTCACTATAGTGGCCCACCCCTTATATATGGGCCCACCGTCACTATAGTGGCCCACCCCTTATATATGGGCCCGCCGTCACTACAGCGGTCCACCCCTTATATATGGGCCCACCGTCACTATAGTGGCCCATCCCTTATATATGGGCCCACCGTCACTATAGTGGCCCACCCCTTATATATGGGCCCGCCGTCACTACAGCGGTCCACCCCTTATATATGGGCCCACCGTCACTATATTGGTCCACCCCTTATATATAGGCTCACCGTCACTACAGCGGTCCACCCCTTATATATGGGCCCACCGTCACTACAGCGGTCCACTCCTTATGTATGGGCCCACCCTCAGTACATGTGCACAACTTCTCATTATAGCTCTGCCACTAGCACCACAGTAAGTAGGCCTGTATCTACTTCGTGAAAGATGGTGGTCAGTTTTGATTTCCAATGAATTTAAACAAAACACTCATTTTTACCAAGAATCATTTTACAAAACCATCATTTTTACTTTGCCAAGACAAGGCGACTAAAATATTTAAACTTTTGGTCTTACATGGAGTAGCTTTGATTTATCGGGACGGCGTGATCTGTGGGTAGAGCGCATGACTGCAATGTTTTGTGTTCGGATCCTCGGTTAGCTGGGCATCTATGAGTTTACTCAGCTTTTAATTGGTACCTGACTCATTTTAGGCAAAATAAAGTCGGGTACGCAATGAAACTAGCCATTTATCGAGGTGACAAACAATAGGTGAAACTCTATCGGAAGATGTAACTTTAATTACTTGTTAAAATTGAGTCAATATTTGTATTTAATCAAACCAAATCACACGTCAAGTTCTCATCCATTTAATGACGGCTCGCGTACAATGTTTCCGGTGCTGCCTAGCTCACGTCAAACTAATCAACACGCGACCAGATTTTATCTAATTAATTGTCCTACAATCAAACTAATTGTGGTCTTAATTAAAGCTACACAACGCGTTTAAAATGTTATGTCTGTTAATTAGAGAAGACAGAACGATGTAAAACCACATTTGAAATGGTCTGTCTGCATAGAAAACAGAACGTAGTTTGAAATGTTGTATGAAATGTTGTGTCAGTTAGCTAGGGAAGACAGAACGTTGTGTGAAATATTGTATGAAATGCTGTATGAAATATTGTATGAAATGTTGTATGAAATGGTGTATGAAATGTTGTATGAAATGTTGTATGAAATGTTGTATGAAATGGTGTATGAAATGGTGTATGAAATGGTGTATGAAATGGTGTATGAAATATTGTATGAAATGTTGTATGAAATGTTGTATGAAATGTTGTATGAAATGTTGTATGAAATGTTGTATGAAATGTTGTATGAAATGGTGTATGAAATGTTGTATGAAATGTTGTATGAAATGTTGTATGAAATGTTGTATGAAATGTTGTATGAAATGTTCTATGAAATGTTGTATGAAATGTTGTATGAAATGTTGTATGAAATGTTGTATGAAATGGTGTATGAAATGTTGTATGAAATGTTGTATGAAATGTTGTATGAAATGTTGTATGAAATGGTGTATGAAATGGTGTATGAAATGTATGAAATGTTGTATGAAATGGTGTATGAAATGTTGTATGAAATGTTGTATGAAATGTTGTATGAAATGTTGTATGAAATGTTGTATGAAATGTTGTATGAAATGTTATATGAAATGTTGTATGAAATGTTGTATGAAATGGTGTATGACATGTTGTATGAAATGGTGTATGAAATGGTGTATGAAATGTTGTATGAAATGTTGTATGACATGCTGTATAAAATGGTGTATGAAATGGTGTATGAAATGTTGTATGAAATGTTGTATGACATGCTGTATAAAATGGTGTATGAAATGGTGTATGAAATGTTGTATGAAATGGTGTATGAAATGGTGTATGAAATGTTGTATGAAATGTTGTATGAAATGTTGTATGAAATGTTGAATGAAATGGTGTATGAAATGTTGTATGAAATGTTGTATGAAATGTTGTATGAAATGTTGAATGAAATGGTGTATGAAATGTTGTATGAAATGGTGTATGAAATGTTGTATGAAATGGTGTATGAAATGGTGTATGAAATGGTGTATGAAATGGTGTATGAAATGTTGTATGAAATGGTGTATGAAATGGTGTATGAAATGGTGTATGAAATGGTGTATGAAATGTTGTATGAAATGTTGTATGACATGCTGTATAAAATGGTGTATGAAATGTTGTATGAAATGGTGTATGAAATGTTGTATGAAATGTTGTATGACATGCTGTATAAAATGGTGTATGAAATGCTGTATGAAATGTTGTATGAAATGTTGTATGACATGCTGTATGACATGCTGTATGAAATGTTGTATGAAATGTTGTATGAAATGCTGTATGAAATATTGTATGAAATGCTGTATGAAATGTTCTGTCATTTAACCAGACAGTGACCCGAGAATGTAACTGAGACCCTGTTATTTGACAGACAATGACGTCAACGATATTCCCGCCTGTCGCTTGCAGCCAACCAATCAACCAATCGTTTCTTCCTTCCTGGTTGACTGAATTTCAACAGACGCGGAAAAAAAAATAATCTTTTTTTTTGTCAAAAGGGTAGCGTGCACTATTCAACTAATTATCTTGCCGGCCAATGACAACAGTGTACTACCAAGAATTGATATTGTTAAGAATACTATAAAACACGCAAGAGCTTCATTATGCTCTTTTTTTCTTTTTAAAAAATAAGCTTAGGTCATTTTTGGAGAGGTAGCTTTTAGAGCACAAGGAGTTCTTGGAGCATTCTGCTTTTAAAGCTTTTAGTCTGTCTGTTGATTTTTTGTCAAATTTTGTAATTCACTTTTAAACTTCTAAATTCATTTCCGATGACAACACAAGAATATCCCATTTTTGTAATACATTAAATAAGCTGGGGGCCTAATAAAAATAAGTAAAATTAGTATCTTCAGTAAAAAAAAAAGAGTCACGTGATTGAGATAAGTTGTTTAAATGGATGTTCACTGAGCCGACGGCTGTAGATACTTATCCATTGATCGGTCGTAATGTTAACATTATATTCAGAGTTTCTTCCAGGCATCTCTTCGGGGGGGGGGGGGGGGGGGGGGCGAATCCCACCAAAAAAATTCTACCGCCACCCGAACGAAATGAAATTTATATAATTTATATAGAAAATATATACTTTTAAGTGTCCGCCCCCACCCCGAAGAAAGTTTACCGCCCCCCCCCCCCCGAAAATTTCAAGTGCCCCCCCCCCCCCCCCCCGGAGAAAAACGTCTGGAAGAAACACTGATTATATTTTAGTCCTTTAAATATAACGACTTAATCAAGAGAAAAACGGATTGTAAAGAATAAATTTGATACTAAGTGTTTCAACAGTTATGAAAATTATATATCAGCTCACTTTTTATAAAAATTCCTAATTACTAAAAAGTATAAACTAAAACGAAACATAAAAGCATTTATAATCACAAGGTTTTAAATGCACTAAAAATGAAACGAACTTTATTTGTCGGACGCTAAAATGCTTCAGTTTTATTGAAAGAGCTTTTTATTTTTTTAAAATATTTTTAGTGTATTTAAAATCATTTTTTAAAATGACATTTGGACTATTTTTTTAAATTTATTGAATTGCTAGATCAACCAACGTATCGTCAGAAGAAACCACTTCACTTCAGAAATAATTGTCAATGATTCGCATTTCTTAGACATGCCTGTGTTTACCCTTAGATCTAATTGATGTCAGAATATAGATCTAGAGCTGTTCGCTAAGGTATGGAATGTTGTACAGGGATCTCAACACAGAATTCTCTCAGTCAGTATTGAAGTTTTCTAACACTTGTGAAGCGTGAAAAATGCATTTATGAGATAGGGGAGGGGGGGGGGGGGCATAAATGACCACTCACTCTTTAGGAAAGAAGAGGGAGGAGGGGGAGAGTCGGACTCTCATGTGTTGTGAAAAAGGGGGAGGGGGGTCGAGTGCTGTCACACTTGGCCATTTAAAAAAAAATTTAACTGAATTTTTAGCTGTTATTTCGCATTTTAGTTCTTTTTCATAGAAATAACTGAGACATTAAATACTGACTGACATTTTTTGTGGTAGGCCTACTCGCAGTTGAATTGTTCTAAATCTCTAAGTAGTGTTAAAGTCAAACATTAGTCTCGAGTTAACAGCGATCATGTGCCCTGTAAAATATGACGTACAACATGACAGAAGCAGTAGAGTTCATCGATATCTTTGATCTCGGCTTCTAAAGCGGCCATCACTGTACCTAGCTGCCGACGAGCCAGGTACTTAATAGAACTGTGTCGACTCACAGACGTCATGCTCGAGACCGGGATCTTATTACTTGCGAGTTAACACTCGTGTGCTCTACCACTCGGCCACTTTGTATTTAGTTATTTAGTCACAAACTTATGCAGTGATAGGAAAAGGGAAATTTTGAAACGATAATGCTTTTATTCAGTAATCTGTTTAGACCTATAATACATAACATTTCTTTAAAGATGAAGAGGATTGAATAGCTGAGTTTAAAAACCAGAGAGGTGTGTTAAGCTGCACCAAACAGAGTAACAACAATGTTTTAGACCTAATCTATGCCACTCAGATATTGGCTTTACCTTATCAGACTAACTAAAACCTGAATTGAACTTTACTTAATTACATTAGCGAGAGTAGACCACAGTATAATGACACAATCAGACGGCATCAAAAGCTTTCTTTATATGATAGTTAATAACAAGCTTCCTCAGTAACATACAGAGGCTCTTTCATTTAAAGATAATATGATTAAAAAATGTAAAAAAAATGCAATAAGAAGTAAAAATAAACAACAAAAAACATTTTTCATTTATAAAAAAATTGACATATTTCATTAAGAAAAAAAATCGAAGAAAAAAAAATCTCTTAATTCTTTGTTAGGTGTCAAAAAATATACAAAGGTGAATAACTCATTAAAAGACCTGTCATAATTATTGACAGCAGTATATTAAAACAATGTTATTACCTGCTGAAGTTGCAAACGAAAAAAAAGTCATTCATCAAAATAATAACCAAAATGGCTTTAAATCCAAACATGAATTTAAAAAATAAAGTAAAATTTCCGCGTGAGTGCTCTACAACAGGTGGCATACGCATAAACATTAGTTTCCGACATAGCGGTGAGTAAATTTTGTGTCGGCTCATTTATAGATGATCTGTCTGAGAGCGCTCGTCATTCCTGCTCACCCCCCCCCCCCCGGCCCACGCGCGCTACACTCAGGGGCGAGCGTGAGTGCGCAGGTCCAGCGTAGTCCTCGACACTTTGGTCTCACAGGTTCTGTTCAATGCTGGGGTTATGGGAGACATTTTGGTCTCACAGGTTCTGTTCAATGCTGGGGTTATGGGAGACACTTTGGTCTCACAGGTTCTGTTCAATGCTGGGGTTATGGGAGACACTTTGGTCTCACAGGTTCTGTTCAATGCTGGGGTTATGGGAGACACTTTGGTCTCACAGGTTCTGTTCAATGCTGGGGTTATGGGAGACATTTTGGTCTCACAGGTTCTGTTCAATGCTGGGGTTATGGGAGACACTTTGGTCTTACAGGTTCAAAGCTGGGGTTATGGGAGACATTTTGGTCTCACAGGTTCTGTTCAATGCTGGGGTTATGGGAGACACTTTGGTCTCACAGGTTCAATGCTGGGATAATGGGAGACATTTTGATCTCACAGGTTCTGTTCAATGCTGGGGTTATGGGAGACACTTTGGTCTCACAGGCTCAATGCTGGGGTTATGGGAGACACTTTGGTCTCACAGGTTCTGTTCAATGCTGGGGTAATGGGAGACACTTTGGTCTCACAGGTTCTGTTCAATGCTGGGGTTATGGGAGACACTTTGGTCTTACAGGTTCTGTTCAATGCTGGGGTTATGGGAGACACTTTGGTCTCACAGGTTCTGTTCAATGCTGGGGTTATGGGAGACACTTTGGTCTCACAGGTTCTGTTCAATGCTGGGGTTATGGGAGACATTTTGGTCTCACGGGCTCAATGCTGGGGTTATGGGAGACACTTTGGTCTCACAGGTTCAATGCTGGGGTTATGGGAGACATTTTGGTCTCACAGGTTTTGTTCAATGCTGGGGTTATGGGAGACATTTTGGTCTCACAGGTTCTGTTCAATGCTGGGGTTATGGGAGACATTTTGGTCTCACAGGTTTTGTTCAATGCTGGGGTTATGGGAGACATTTTGGTCTCACAGGTTCAATGCTGGGGTTATGGGAGACACTTTGGTCTCACAGGTTCTGTTCAATGCTGGGGTTATGGGAGACATTTTGGTCTCACAGGTTCTGTTCAATGCTGGGGTTATGGGAGACACTTTGGTCTCACAGGTTCAATGCTGGGGTTATGGGAGACACTTTGGTCTCACAGGTTCTGTTCAATGCTGGGGTTATAGGAGACACTTTGGTCTCACAGGTTCTGTTCAATGCTGGGGTTATGGGAGACACTTTGGTCTCACAGGTTCTGTTCAATGCTGGGGTTATGGGAGACACTTTGGTCTCACAGGTTCTGTTCAATGCTGGGGTTATGGGAGACACTTTGGTCTCACAGGTTCAATGCTGGGGTTATGGGAGATACTTTGGTCTCACAGGTTCTGTTCAATGCTGGGGTTATGGGAGACATTTTGGTCTCACAGGTTTTGTTCAATGCTGGGGTTATGGGAGACACTTTGGTCTCACAGGTTCTGTTCAATGCAGGGGTTATGGTAGACACTTTGGTCTCACAGGTTCTGTTCAATGCTGGGGTTATGGGAGACACTTTGGTCTCACAGGTTCTGTTCAATGCTGGGGTTATGGGAGACATTTTGGTCTCATAGGTTCACTGCTGGGGTTATGGGAGACACTTGGTCTCACATGTTCTGTTCAATGCTGGGGTTATGGGAGACACTTTGGTCTCACATGTTCTGTTCAATGTTGGGTTTATGGGAGACACTTTGGTCTCACAGGTTCTGTTCAATGCTGGGTTTATGGGAGACATTTTGGTCTTACGGGTTCTGTTCAATGCTGGGGTTATGGGAGACATTTTGGTCTTACAGGTTCTGTTCAATGCTGGGGTTATGGGAGACACTTTGGTCTCACAGGTTCTGTTCAATGCTGGAGTTATGGGAGACACTTTGGTCTCACAGGTTCTGTTCAATGCTGGGGTTATGGGAGACACTTTGGTCTCACAGGTTCAATGCTGGGGTTATGGGAGACACTTTGGTCTCACAGGTTCTGTTCAATGCTGGGGTTATAGGAGACACTTTGGTCTCACAGGTTCTGTTCAATGCTGGGGTTATGGGAGACATTTTGGTCTTACAGGCTCTGTTCAATGCTGGGGTTATGGGAGATATTTTGGTCTCACAGGTTCTGTTCAATGCTGGGGTTATGGGAGACACTTTGGTCTCACAGGTTTTGTTCAATGCTGGGGTTATGGGAGACATTTTGGTCTCACAGGTTCTGTTCAATGCTGGGGTTATGGGAGACACTTTGGTCTCACAGGTTCAATGCTGGGGTTATGGGAGACATTTTGGTCTCACAGGTTCAATGCTGGGGTTATGGGAGACATTTTGGTCTCACAGGTTCTGTTCAATGCTGGGGTTATGGGAGACATTTTGGTCTCACAGGTTCTGTTCAATGCTGGGGTTATGGGAGACATTTTGGTCTCACAGGTTCTGTTCAATGCTGGGGTTATAGGAGACACTTTGGTCTCACAGGTTCTGTTCAATGCTGGGGTTATGGGAGACATTTTGGTCTCACAGGTTCTGTTCAATGCTGGGGTTATGGGAGACACTTTGGTCTCACAGGTTCTGTTCAATGCTGGGGTTATGGGAGATACTTTGGTCTCACAGGTTCTGTTCAATGCTGGGGTTATGGGAGACACTTTGGTCTCACAGGTTCAACGCTGGGGTTATGGGAGACACTTTGGTCTCACAGGTTCTGTTCAATGCTGGGGTTATGGGAGACATTTTGGTCTCACAGGTTCTGTTCAATGCTGGGGTTATGTGAGACATTTTGGTCTCACAGGTTCTGTTCAATGCTGGGGTTATGGGAGACACTTTGGTCTCACAGGTTCTGTTCAATGCTGGGGTTATGTGAGACATTTTGGTCTCACAGGTTCTTTTCAATGCTGGGGTTATGGGAGACACTTTGGTCTCACAGGTTCTGTTCAATGCTGGGGTTATGGGAGACACTTTGGTCTCACAGGTTCTGTTCAATGCTGGGGTTATGGGAGACATTTTGGTCTCACATGTTCTGTTCAATGCTGGGGTTATGGGAGACACTTTGGTCTCACAGGTTCTGTTCAATGCTGGGGTTATGGGAGACATTTTGGTCTCACAGGTTCTGTTCAATGCTGGGGTTATGGGAGACATTTTGGTCTCACAGGTTCTGTTCAATGCTGGGGTTATGGGAGATACTTTGGTCTCACAGGTTCTGTTCAATGCTGGGGTTATGGGAACCACTTTGGTCTCACAGGTTCTGTTCAATGCTGGGGTTATGGGAGACATTTTGGTCTCACAGGTTCTGTTCAATGCTGGGGTTATGGGAGACATTTTGGTCTCACAGGTTCTGTTCAATGCTGGGGTTATGGGAGACACTTTGGTCTTACAGGTTCAAAGCTGGGGTTATGGGAGACATTTTGGTCTCACAGGTTCTGTTCAATGCTGGGGTTATGGGAGACACTTTGGTCTCACAGGTTCAATGCTGGGATAATGGGAGACATTTTGATCTCACAGGTTCTGTTCAATGCTGGGGTTATGGGAGACACTTTGGTCTCACAGGTTCTGTTCAATGCTGGGGTTATGGGAGACACTTTGGTCTCACAGGCTCAATGCTGGGGTTATGGGAGACACTTTGGTCTCACAGGTTCTGTTCAATGCTGGGGTTATGGGAGACACTTTGGTCTTACAGGTTCTGTTCAATGCTGGGGTTATGGGAGACACTTTGGTCTCACAGGTTCTGTTCAATGCTGGGGTTATGGGAGACACTTTGGTCTCACAGGTTCTGTTCAATGCTGGGGTTATGGGAGACATTTTGGTCTCACGGGCTCAATGCTGGGGTTATGGGAGACACTTTGGTCTCACAGGTTCAATGCTGGGGTTATGGGAGACATTTTGGTCTCACAGGTTTTGTTCAATGCTGGGGTTATGGGAGACATTTTGGTCTCACAGGTTCTGTTCAATGCTGGGGTTATGGGAGACATTTTGGTCTCACAGGTTTTGTTCAATGCTGGGGTTATGGGAGACATTTTGGTCTCACAGGTTCAATGCTGGGGTTATGGGAGACACTTTGGTCTCACAGGTTCTGTTCAATGCTGGGGTTATGGGAGACATTTTGGTCTCACAGGTTCTGTTCAATGCTGGGGTTATGGGAGACACTTTGGTCTCACAGGTTCAATGCTGGGGTTATGGGAGACACTTTGGTCTCACAGGTTCTGTTCAATGCTGGGGTTATAGGAGACACTTTGGTCTCACAGGTTCTGTTCAATGCTGGGGTTATGGGAGACACTTTGGTCTCACAGGTTCTGTTCAATGCTGGGGTTATGGGAGACATTTTGGTCTCACAGGTTCTGTTCAATGCTGGGGTTATGGGAGACACTTTGGTCTCACAGGTTCAATGCTGGGGTTATGGGAGACACTTTGGTCTCACAGGTTCTGTTCAATGCTGGGGTTATGGGAGACATTTTGGTCTCACAGGTTTTGTTCAATGCTGGGGTTATGGGAGACACTTTGGTCTCACAGGTTCTGTTCAATGCTGGGGTTATGGGAGACACTTTGGTCTCACAGGTTCTGTTCAATGCTGGGGTTATGGGAGACACTTTGGTCTCACAGGTTCTGTTCAATGCTGGGGTTATGGGAGACACTTTGGTCTCACAGGTTCTGTTCAATGCTGGGGTTATGGGAGACATTTTGGTCTCATAGGTTCACTGCTGGGGTTATGGGAGACACTTTGGTCTCACAGGTTCTGTTCAATGCTGGGTTTATGGGAGACATTTTGGTCTTACGGGTTCTGTTCAATGCTGGGGTTATGGGAGACATTTTGGTCTTACAGGTTCTGTTCAATGCTGGGGTTATGGGAGACACTTTGGTCTCACAGGTTCTGTTCAATGCTGGAGTTATGGGAGACACTTTGGTCTCATAGGTTCTGTTCAATGCTGGGGTTATGGGAGACACTTTGGTCTCACAGGTTCAATGCTGGGGTTATGGGAGACACTTTGGTCTCACAGGTTCTGTTCAATGCTGGGGTTATAGGAGACACTTTGGTCTCACAGGTTCTGTTCAATGCTGGGGTTATGGGAGACATTTTGGTCTTACAGGTTCTGTTCAATGCTGGGGTTATGGGAGACACTTTGGTCTCACAGATTCTATTCAATGCTGGGGTTATGGGAGACACTTTGGTCTCACAGGTTCAACGCTGGGGTTATGGGAGACATTTTGGTCTCACAGGTTCAACGCTGGGGTTATGGGAGACACTTTGGTCTCACAGGTTCTGTTCAATGCTGGGGTTATGGGAGACACTTTGGTCTCACAGGTTCAACGCTGGGGTTATGGGAGACATTTTGGTCTCACAGGTTCAACGCTGGGGTTATGGGAGACACTTTGGTCTCACAGGTTCTGTTCAATGCTGGGGTTATGGGAGACATTTTGGTCTCACATGTTCTGTTCAATGCTGGGGTTATGGGAGACACTTTGGTCTCACAGTTTTTGTTCAATGCTGGGGTTATGGGAGACATTTTGGTCTCACAGGTTCTGTTCAATGCTGGGGTTATGGGAGACACTTTGGTCTCACAGGTTCAATGCTGGGGTTATGGGAGACATTTTGGTCTCACAGGTTCTGTTCAATGCTGGGGTTATGGGAGACACTTTGGTCTCATAGGTTCTGTTCAATGCTGGGGTTATGGGAGACACTTTGGTCTCACAGGTTCTGTTCAATGCTGGGGTTATGGGAGACATTTTGGTCTCACAGGTTCTGTTCAATGCTGGGGTTATGGGAGACACTTTGGTCTCACAGGTTCAATGCTGGGGTTATGGGAGACATTTTGGTCTCACAGGTTCTGTTCAATGCTGGGGTTATGGGAGACACTTTGGTCTCACAGGTTCTGTTCAATGCTGGGGTTATGGGAGACACTTTGGTCTCACAGGTTCTGTTCAATGCTGGGGTTATGGGAGACATTTTGGTCTCACAGGTTCAATGCTGGGGTTATGGGAGACACTTTGGTCTCACAGGTTCTGTTCAATGCTGGGGTTATGGGAGACACTTTGGTCTCACAGGTTCTGTTCAATGCTGGGGTTATGGGAGACACTTTGGTCTCACAGGTTCTGTTCAATGCTGGGGTTATGGGAGACATTTTGGTCTCACAGGTTCTGTTCAATGCTGGGGTTATGGGAGACACTTTGGTCTCACAGATTCTGTTCAATGCTGGGGTTATGGGAGACACTTTGGTCTCACAGGTTCAATGCTGGGGTTATGGGAGACACTTTGGTCTCACAGGTTCTGTTCAATGCTGGGGTTATAGGAGACACTTTGGTCTCACAGGTTCTGTTCAATGCTGGGGTTATGGGAGACACTTTGGTCTCACAGGTTCTGTTCAATGCTGGGGTTATGGGAGACACTTTGGTCTCACAGGTTCTGTTCAATGCTGGGATTATGGGAGACACTTTGGAGAAGGGGGGTGATGTTGGTCCTCTTTAATACATCCACATTGATGGTGGTGCTCTTTTTTTCATTCACATTGACGGGGGTCCTTTTTCTTTTACATTCACACTGACAGGAGGGAGGGGGGGGATTTATTCGAAATATCAACCCTGCCCCCCCCCCCCCCTTTTTGACGTGACGGAGGGTCTTTTTTTAAAATAAATTCACACTAACATGATATTCACTATGACAGGGGGTCCTTTGTGATACATTCACTATGACGGGGGTATTAATTTGATACATTCACTATGACGGAGTATTTTGTATAACCCCGCATTACAATTGAAGTTTTTTTTTGTGTGTGATAAAAATCACGTTGTGTTCATGTTGACGTGGAACACGGTGTATTTTGAAAATGTTCATAAGGGGGGGGGGGGGGGGGCAAAATTTTGTATCGTATTCAGTTTCCTGTAGGTATCTTTGTTATTGTTGCGGTATCAATGACCGTATTCATAATCAGCTTTATGAATAACATCGTGATTTGAGTAAAGGCTAAAGCAATAACTAGGCTTAGGTCTAAAGTCCGGATTTATGTCAGGTTTGTTTTAGTGAATGGTTAGAACCAGGGTTAGTATTATAGCTGTGGTGTATTAAAAGTATGTGTGTGGGGGGGGGGGGGGGGGGGAAGGGGGGGGGGGGCTGAAAACACAGCAGACTAGAGCCCTGTGGTTTCAAGACCCCCAGATTATCTCATATAAAAACAAAAGTAAATTTCTTTTCAATCAACTACCTGTTTCAACAATTAAAATCAATTTTAAACAATTATCCACCACAAATATCAATGTCAACGTATTCCCTCCCACTAGAGGATTATAAAATCTCCAAGTGTTATGATAGACCTTCATTCATCACTTCTTGTTCAGACACTGTTTACATGAAGTGAGGTTAGATCTCCCTGGAATAACACAGCGTTTTTTCTTCTTCTGACAATCAAATAGTCTGATTCGCACAATGACGTCACTAGGTCGGGTGATATCCGGTGCGGCCACCCCCCCCCCTCCACCGACTAAATATCTGATGTACTAAAACTATAGAAAATTTGGTGTTTACCTTTATCCCGAATGGTGTCATCCTGTGCCTAACGATATAAAAGTAAAAGTTAAGATTCTTTTTTAGACCTAACAATTCATTGGGCTGATTAAGTGGATCAAGTCGCTTAACCTCGGCATATGAAGGGGTGGTGTGGTCAGCACTTAGCCCAGCTGCATTTACTCTCCCAAACGTATGTCAGGTACCCATCAGAGCTGAGTGGTCTCAGGGACAACCTACAGTCACAAGACCGAACCTGGTTCTGAACTCGAGACCTTCGGGCTAGCAGTTGAACGCTCTACCATTTTGAAACTGAATATATTAGTTAATCAGAGGCGTAGCGAGGGGGGGGGGGGGGGGCGGGCGGGGGGGGGGGGGACATATGTCCCCGGGCGCCGACCTTAGGGGGGCGCCAAATTGAAAGTTTGAGGGGGGGGGCTGCAAATTAAAAGTTCGAGGGGGGGGTGCAAATCGAAAGTTTGAGGGGGGGGGTGCAAATGAAAAGTTCGAGGGGGGGGGTGCAAATCGAAAATTTGCTCCCGAGGGGGGCGCCAAATTGAAAGTATGTCCCCGGGCGCCGGGAAGGGTCGCTACGCCTCTGTATTTAATTGACATTATTTAACTTTTACACAAATTGTTTTAACAAATTCATCATTGCATCTCATCTTGACCTAGATTTTTTATATTTTTTTAAATTATATAGTAAAGGGAAATAACTCAATTAATCACAGTTTTATCTTGGATGTGAAAAGCTCATGAACAATATGTTCTGTAATTCATAATTAAGTACAAGATGTTATTTAAGTATTTTTTTGTTTCTAAAAGAGTAGATAAATACTAAAACTGTTTAAAACTCCACTTAATGTTAGTTAACCGATACTCCAGCCTTTAAGAAAAAACTTTTTTTTTTTTTTTATCTTTCATGTTAGGGCCTAAGTAAAATTAAAGTTGTTATATGGGGCAAGGGAAGTAACGTTCACCTGTTTCTGTGACCTCGGCATATGAAGGGATAGTCATGGTCAGCACTATGCGCAGTCGCCTTTACTTTCCCTAACGTCAGTTAGGTACCCATCAGAGCTGGGTGGATTTATGGACGGTCTACCGACTTGAACCCGGATTCGAACTCGAGTCTAGCAGTCTAGCTCTCTACCGCTAGGCCACTCTTTCCCATCATCTAGCATACCCCGATCTTTCTCGCTCAGGCACATTATATTGAAGGCAGTACAAAAATAGACTAGAGCGGGCTTTATATGTTATGAGAGGTGTGATACATCCAAAAATATTTAAATTTATATAATTAGTCGTTATTAACTTTTAGTAACTTTTTTCAGGCAACGCACTTCTGTTTATATGACGTCACGCTATTTTAAACTAGAGTAAGAATGTTCCGTTTAACCCCCCTTCGTCCTTTCAACAAACAATTTATTGAAATGATTAGGATATTATTATGCTCATAAAAGATTTTAGCAAATATTTTCTTTTCAAGACTGCTTTTTAAAAAATTGAGATATTATTTTAAAACGGATTGCAATAAAAACAACTCTTCTGCACATCGAACTCCAACACTCCAATATTTTCATGACGTAATAATTTTATGGCATCAATTTCATTTTTGTCCGGGTCAAATCGTCGTGCACCGAGCCTTAAAGCGGTCAAATTATTTATTATACCTAAAAATTATAATAAATTATATATTCATTTTATAGAAATGCTACTAAAATGTAATAATATATATAATCATTGTTGTATTAATAATACAAAACTATTCTGTAAGCTATAAATAATATTTTTACAAAATACTTTTACAATCTGACATATCAATTTACATCTACATCCAGCATCTTTTTGAGGCATCACAAATTGATATTACACCGGAGAGTCAAATGAAATAAGGAAGTTGCCTCGTTTTGATGTATACCAAAATAAACTGACCGATGGAGACGTACATCATTGGTTTCCAGCTTTGTTTGTATACAAATTTGCAAAGAAATATTTGCAAAACAACATTTGAAGCGCACTAATTAGGATCTAAATATGGGTGTATACACACATTTATTTGGAAAGCTTTGTAATAAACCTGTAAAATTGGTATGCTTTTTAAAAAGTTATTTTTACCTTAATCTCGATTCTAGACAGATCAAGCGATCAAGATTTCCCCACATCAGCTGTCTCAGAGTAACAGATCTCTGTTCTGTTAAGTCTCAAGTCTACATCTAGTCTAGTGCCATTCGGCCCAGTCAACTAACCCACTAGCTAGGCTAATGTATAGACTAGTGTAGCTGTCCAATATGTGACAATATTTACATTTAGGCCCTAGATCTAAATGTTTTATTTTTTTTTTATAGATGTCAAGAAACCTGAAACAGCATCTCCTGGCTTAAACTACAAAACTGTAGCAAAGTATCTTTAGTGGGGTAAGTAGTAGATTTATTTTCAATTAACTTGGGCATGTCTGAGTCTCCCCGTTGTAAATAATGAAAACATTTGTGACTAATATCAAAGAGTTGAGAGAGTGATTAATTTGACCAATAGCCCTTATTTTTGAAAAACAGTTGTTTTTACTGGAGAGCCAGAGCTTAATAATAATAAACGTTAATAATAAACTGTAAATTGCCTCTGTAGAAGTTACCGGATGGAAGTGTTGGGTACAGCTGTTGGAACCATTACAAATGACACTTTTATGGATGATCTTGGTACATCTGGTGCTGATGGTACACTTATCCCAGGTATTTTTACTTTAAATAAAAGGAACAGTTTTAACATCCTTGATAAAAAATATCTGTAAAATTATACTTAACACCAAATTTGAAAAATATTACATTGTTTATTACTACATAAGCCTACTGTTAACTATTTCTGTTCCTCTTTAAAAAAAGAATCATAAACTTTGATATATTAATTTTGAAAATATCCACATGTCATCGGGCATTATAAAATCATGCCTACAGTTTGGTCTTGGTTAGTGGGGTGGTATGCTTGTCCTAGACTTCACATCTATATAAACTCATGTTTTGAGTTAGATACAATGGCTTAACTCTAAAGAATGCTCCAGTGTTCACTATGGGCAAATGATGCTATTTTGTTTCATGTAGATGTACTCTACTGATGTCCTTCTGATAATAGTGTCAATTGAAACTGAGAAATTAATATTTTTCAGGTCAAAGAGCATCCTCAGAATATGGTTCATCATTAAACACTGACAACAAGTCTGATGGAAGGTAAGTTAATAATCACCCACTTTTATTATAACTGTATTTATAACTGACTTGATGAATATTGTCCTTTTCAGGTTTTAGTTTGGTGGTTCTCTCCATGTCCCTGGATAAATCTATTAGAATCTATCAGCGTGTATAGACAAATTAATGTGTTGCTTGTATTTTCAGACATGGGCATTTTTTGAAAAAGAAGCCTGTTGTTTATAACATGACCACATACCCACCAGAAAACCCACCTCGAAATATTGGGTAATTTTTTAAAACCATAAAGGATGTTCACTTCTTTTTATTTCAATTCTATTGTGGACATTATTTTGAATCCATTTTGGAGTATTGAAGAATAGTTTAATTTCTCGTATAGCTGGTACAGCTTTGTGGAAAAATGCATGGTCATTATCCAGCAGCTCTTTGTAAAAGATTGAAAGTTTCTATAGATTATTCAGTGGAGCTTTATAGCAAAACTTCTTTGATTAGACTTTTGATAATCAATAAATCAGTAATTTAATACCTGACAGTGCAGTTTAAGCATCTTGAATTTGATGATTCTCATGAAGTTTATTTCTACAGCACTGGCAAGATTTTTATGCTCCAAGATATATTTATCTATTTTATAATTTTTGTTTTATTAAATTCCTTTTTGCTCTTTATTTCTCAGATGAGCACTGCTTTTCAGCTCAGTGTTTTAGTATTTAATGTATATACAAATAATCACTTTAAGCAGTTTTTAATTAATTAAATTGATTTTAACCTATATATCATTACCTATTTGATTTAAACAAAAAACTTATTTAATACAGTATCAGATTTTATCTTTATTATAAAGGCTGTTGAACTTTTTGAAGATTTGATCAGTACATTATTATGTTAATACATGGTTTTTAAACCCTAGATGTTTCATTAATTTTTAAGACTTTTCACATTTTTACCTTTATAAAGTATCAACATTGCAATGTTTCCTTTTATTGATTTTAAACTTTTGCCAAACTGCACTGTTTTTTTGTGTGTATTAATTTTAATTGCTAGCTTAGTATTGCCTATATTTTTTTTTTACATCTGTTTACACTTGAAAAAAGGCAATTAAAACAAGATATCAGGTAGTTTGTGAACAAAAATATCTGTTTAGGGACTTTTGGCTTGAAAAATCCATCATGGACATGAATACTGCTAGACCTTACTTTGTTGATTACTGTAATACATACCAAAGTGTGAAAAAACTGCTGGTGTTATGACATGTAGCATTTAGGTGTAGAGAATCTTTATAATTTCAGTTAATAATCTGCTGTAGCCAGGCCTGTTGTATGAATCATGTTTGTCTGGATGCTCATCTGTCTAGTTAGGTCCTGCTAAGTGTTAATATTAAAAGGCCATGCTGTAGATAGTTTCATTTTAGTTTAGAAAAAAAAATGTCAACTACAAATTTAGTAATTTGTAAAAATGTTCAGTGGTGTTTTTTCAGAACCACCTTTTTGTGACTTTTGTAGAGGAATGTAATTTAACTATCTTGAGTTATGGACAAATTATTTCAAAAAGAAAAGTCATATGTTTACTTGTGTAGCAAGGGCCTAAAATATACATGTACAATCTGTTACTTCATTTGCTTTAAGCTTTGAAATGTTATGCCATTGTAGCTTTTATACTTTTTTTAAATATTAGAGAAAAAGATGTAAATATTTTTTATTAGCATGTTTTTGTTAATGATTCTAATTTGTTGAACAATGTTAAGTAGTCACTTACTTCAATTCATTTTAAATATTACTTTAATTTATTTATGTAAAATGTTTACCAAACTTTCATCACCTATCACCACAGATTGGTATACACTTCTTTTCTATTTTTAGGATCCACTTGGTTCATCTAATCATTTTTAAGTTATTTCAAAAGATTCTATGTTTGAATTATTTTCAATGCTAAATTCTACTGTGTATTTGATATTTAATTTTATAATCCGCCTAGAGTAAAGGTGCACTACATTTTGTTATAACAGTTGAAGATCATCATCTTTTTTTATTTTTATCTAAAATATTTCCTGTAGTTATTTTATTATTGACAAATTAATTTTAAAACACCTTTTTTCAGATTGTACATTTTTTGTTGTTTTCAATTGATCTAATGTAATTTTAAACATATTTTTTGAACAGTCCAAGCTCAAAAAGTCCAGTGAAAAAAGTTCCTGATGTCTCTGTAAGTAGTGTGTCCACAAAGCTAGCAATTCACCTGATTACTCTACAACCATTCTAATCATATTAAAGTGTTGAACAAGGGTAGGCTCCCTTCCATATTGGTGAACATGGGTGAAATGTAGCTAAAACATGGTACTCTTCCTTCCTAACATTCTGACCACCTTAAAGATTTGGTTAAAGTTATTAGCTTCATCTCTAGTACTAGGAGTTGTGGCAGATACCTAACTCCCCTAACATTTGCCATTCTGCCCCAATCAGCAGTGTTTACTACCTAACTGCTAGACTACCCTTTCAGCTAGAAATAATTACACCATCCAACACTTACCTTAATTTTTCACTTTTTTTGTGTTTGTAGGAATTACCTGTCAACATAAGCAAGTCAAGGACCATTAGATTTCACAAATTGTTCAAGTCTGCACCAGTTGATGAATATCCAATTGAATGTAAGCTTGTACTCTTCAATTTCTATCTTTTTTAAGACCCTTTGTATATTCACCTGTTAGTACACATTCTGTTTGCTGTGACCTGTGTTACACAATACGTTGGTGAAAGTTGTTTTTTACCAACAATAATAAATATATATTCATGTGTAAGTTTTTTTGTGGAACTGATACCTTACAGTAATAGAGATTTGTCTAGGAGACCTGGGCCCCCTTATACTTTATCTATATGCTGTTTATGAAGTATAACTAAAATTTAAATGACAGCATTAACTCTATTTTCTCTGTCCCACAGCCTTCTCATGTGCCTTTAAAGGAGATATACTTCTCCACGGTCAGATGTATGTGTCGCACAAGTGGCTGTGTTTTTACTCTAAGATCAAAGCCAAAGGGCGATGTGTAAGTTTGATACTTACTTTTTAGTCAAGCATAATCATATTTAAAAATTGACAAACCAAACCTTGTTTGATTTGTGACATAAGTATAATTTGTGTAGGTAATCTATAAGAATTCATTTTGTTCTATTTTTCTGTATCAACTGTATACAGTTCATAATATTAACATCTTTAAAAGAAAATAATCTAAAATTTATTCAACCCGTTTTTAAATTCTCTTCCTTCATGTCAATCTCTTTCACTTAAGTTCATATCAACTTTTTGGCAGAGTTCCCTTTTGCCCAATTGTACTGTTCACAAGTACAAAGATCAGTTGCAGGCAGAATGTAACATTGAAAGATGAATATTCAATTAACACTACGTTTGTTTTATAAATTTATTTATCGTGACTTACACTCAATGAGACACGTTAATTAAGATGTAAAAGTTTTGGTAGAAATTTTAGTTAGACATTAATAAATTGAAGAGCACCATTTCAAAATATAAATGTTCATAGTCTGAAACCAACTGATTGGCTACACACAACTACTGGATCTGACATTGACACTAAATTCAGACCACAATACAAAAATTTAATGTGTTCAATTAATGCAATATGCACATCAACTTTCTACATCTTGATTCAGTTTTGTTCAATTAATTTCATATATGCCAGTATTCAAAACAAAACTTTTAAAAACACGAACAGATTGAGATTCCATTTGACAAGATCATCAGTATAACCAGGGAGAAGTTGGCACTGATTATACCAAATGCTATTGGCATTCAGATAGCTGATCACAAGGTAAAGAAATACTTTCATCACTTGTATCTCATATGGTTATACTTGCAGATAGTAAATAAAACCTTATTCTAATACAATTTCTTAGTCATATGAAAACTTCAGGATAAACAATTTACATTTTAAAATATTGATTTACCAGTATTAATGCATGAGTAAAATGTAAATAGAAAAGTTTAATCAATCACACCTTAACATTTTTATGTTGTTGAATATCTGAAAGTTCATCTTTATTATATGTCAGGAAATAACTTAACACTTAACATGTATTGTTAATTTTAAAGTGTATTAAATATATGTTGTTTTGTGTATGCTACTAAACTGTTGAATCCAAAAGTAAAAGCTAGAAAAATGTTTTGTTTCACTGCTTTTGCTTCAGATTGTTTGTGCATCTATGTTTTTCACTAACAATGGCATTAATGTTCACAAAGTGTCTCTCTGTTTTCACAAAAACCATTTTCTTAAAAAACTACAACTTGGGGCATGATTTAGCTGTGGGAAAGGCATTGTTGGTCAATTTGATTTGATTTCTGCCCTAACAAGAATTTAATTTTCTCAGTATGTTTTTGGATCTTTTATATCAAGAGATTCAACCTACAAAAAACTGGTCACACTGTGGAAGATAAATCAGGACATGGTAAGTGGGTCCAGCTTTCCTGGATCAAATTTCCTTGAATCATTAACACAATATCCCTGCAACAATGTCCCAGCCTTCAGGTCATCTTATGCCACCACTCACCATGTTGGGAGGTGTTTTCTTGATTTCTTCAGTAATGTTTCCCAAATAGCTTATAAAATTCCTTTTTACCATCATGATGTGATAAGAGCTTAAATTTTCAGTTGTTTTTCTTCATGAAGGGTGTCTTGAATAAAAGTTCTTTTAGCATTTTGCTCAGAAAAGATACTAGTAAGAAAAGGATCATTGCAGAACTGCTTGCAGTAACCAAATCTGAACCATTATGTTGGTTTGTAAAACACATTATGTGTAAATATTTTTATAACTTCACTTGAAAAATAGTCTAAAATATTTCAGGAAAGGCATTGGAAGAATTTATTAATAAACATAACCTGCTCTGTGCTGTTAGTTGCATTAGTTAAGGACAGTCTTGATCTGGTACAGCAGCACCAATAAAATGTATATGATCAGCTAGTTTGGTTAAACTACTATTTCTAAGCTAGTGTGTAATGTAAGAAGAGTGTTCATTGTTTTAAAAGGTGCTTTAGTAAACTCTTTTTGTTGTTGTGTGCTAGTATTGTGACTACTTCAAAAGTAATATCATCAGCAGATAATTTGTTTGGGCTGAACTTTTCAAACCTTCATTTTAAAGACAGGGCAATTCAACATTAAATTTGATAGCTCTTTGTCCTCATTGTTGTAAAAATTAACTTTTAACCAATCCGCTTTTGTTATAATTTTAATAAGCTTAACAATATAATAGAAAGCGTTGGGTATGCTTTTGAAGACATTTTGTCCATTACATTTTGTACAATCTTTCTGTTCTAGGTGACTAAGGTCCTGTAGTTAAAATCAAATGATGGATTTGAATTTTTATTAACAGTATGTTTTATTGAAGCATATATTATTTAGTTTGCACATAGATGCAATTTATTACCGTACTGTTGCACATTGTAATGCTCACATGCTGTGTTCTAGGCTCTAGGTGATGTGGGGCTTGGTCTCAATGTTGGTGTGGGTGTGTTGAGCCACTCCAACAGTGCTGACAGCTCAGAAAGTGACACAACAGAGGATGATGTTGATGCTGGAGGTCAGCTTGACCGCGTGCTCTCCGCCCATCGCAGGATTGATGTTGACGTCATCAAACACACAGATTCACCTTTGCTGGGCAGACAGCCAGGAATTCAGCCCTGTAGGTGTCACACTCTTAGACTTTCATACTCCGCCATGACTGGCTCAGATATTTTTATACCATACATTAAATGTTTTATAGCTGATTGTTCCATTCCGCTATAGATAATTTGTTGTACTACTAGTATTGTCACTTTTTTTGCAGGTTTGAACTGCAGTAGCGCAGTCAATACTTTTTTTTCTTTCTCTCTAAAACTTCAAAAGTAAGTTGATGGATGTATAAAAAGTAAATTTAAAATTTTTTTTAATTATAATTAGAACCTTCAATATTTGTGGCTGCTCTAAGGAGCATATATTATTGATTTAAAACTATTATTTTGGTATTTCTAAAGATAAAGTTTCAATCAATTGATTTCAGAATACCTCGTACCAGCATGTTGCTTGGGATTTGTACCATACTGTAAGATTTACTTGTAGATTTTACTTAAATTGTTCATGCAGTTTTAATAAAACCTTATTTTATACAAGTTAAGAAAACATGCTGTGGTGCAAGGCCGTAGAAAATGAGCTAGTTGTTTTTACTCTTAAATTTACATAGCATGCATTTTTAAAATGTCATCATGATAATATTGTTTTATTAAATCTACGAATTTGACCATATTTTCTGTTTATAATTTGCCTTCCAAGTGTTATTTCCTACTGTAGTACCTACATACTGGGTCATATATAGTGTCATTGTTTCTTCTTCCCAGGGTGTTTTTCCTTCTGTTGTCAGCCATGGGACTAACTTACAAAATTCTACTGCTGCAGAGTAAACTGGAGATCAAAAATGTCTGGTCCCCTCACTCTTCCGTCAATTTCAGGTAAATTTACAATCACCATTTTTGCCATTTACCTCTACATTTACTAGATGACTTGAATTTGCTTTATTCTAATTAGTGAAAAAAATGTAATACTTAGAGCAATTTTAGAGTAAAATTATTTAAGAGCTGTGATTATAAATTTCTTCTGAAACCTGGACTGTCTTTTCAATGTAAACCATTTGATTGTTATAGAGACCGAGCTATGAGCAACTTGTATTGGCTACAAACAGAAAGCCATGCATCAGTTGTGCGACAGCTACACAGTGTTTTAGAGGCCAACATTCATCTTTTAGAAGAGGTAAGTATGCACATTCTTTTACTCCAGCTGTCATAATTTACTTTGTTGAAAAGTACTGTAAGTACTGTGGTCGGTTGCTTTTGTCTGATACTTAAAGCAGAAAATAGTTGTAACTATGAAACTTTGATAGAGTAGACAGTTCAAACAAATAATTGAATTAGATATATGTTCAGTTGTGAGCATAAATTAATTTTTAATCTCAAACTGTCTGGATTTTTAAAAAGTGGGATCTTTCTATTAGAAGCAGTGTTTAATTTTTAAAGTTAGTTCAACTGTTTTGGTTCAGGTACTTGCACCTAAAACTGTCTAGTTTTTATTGTTTGTACAACTTGTTGCTTCAGGTGAATGTTTTGCTCAAGAGCCTCCACCGAGATCCCCAAAAAAGCTCAAACTGTAGCAAGAATGACAAGTAGCCTCAGCAAGTTTTACCAGTGCTTGATATTATCAGCAAAATGTTTTGGGCCTTGTTGGAATAAGTGAAATACTTGAACACAATCCTTTTACATACTTTGTTTTTCCAGCTGTAGATGGTATGACATTTTATCTTTTTTTTACCAACTTTCAAATTACAGAGACAGATGTTTTTTTTTATAAAGAGAATCAAAGGCAGTAGCAATATGTTTTTGGTATTTTGTACTTACTTTGATATTTACTTAAGGCTTTGAGGGATATTGTTTTTTTAACAGGCAAATGAAAAAGAAGTATTTGTATTTTATTTGAAGAATTTTATTCTATAAATAATGATATACAGAACTTTGTTATTCATCTGAAATACATATTTTAAAAAATGGGCTATCACATGCTATACCGTTAGTTTTTAGATTCCCATTATCCATATAATCATCTCTCTTTGTATGCTTTTGGTATAGAATTATATTTAGTTTGATCATTTTACTATGGGGCCAATTAGCACAGAATTTTAAAACATTTGGTTTATCATTATCAATTTTTCTTTCTTATTTTTATCATACACATTTTAGAGTTACAGCACACATGAATAACAGCTACATTTTTCAGTATGTTTTAAATTTTATTTATATAATAGATTCTTCTTTAACAATTTGTATACATATACACATGAATAACAGCTACATTTTTCAGTATGTTTTAAATTTTATTTATATAATAGATTCTTCTTTAACAATTTGTATACATATACACAAAGTTTGTGAACATTCATAAGACGATGTGCAAATATAAACTGTTTATAATTATAGTGCATATTTTTGAAATCTATTTGTGTAATGCTTCCATTTTCTTGTCTTCTGTTAAGGGCATGGGCGGGTGATGAGTACCAACTTTCTTATTTCCGAGTCTAAAGATGTAATACTTGGTTAATAGTTATAACTCAAAGAGTTAAGCATAAAAATATTTGTTTTAATTTTTTAAATCTTGCGTTGCCATGGTGACGGCGGCCATATTGGATTTTATTGACGATTTTTAAATGGAAATAACTCAAAAATGGTTTGTACAAATTTCATGAAAACTTAATATAGTCTGCAGACACATGTGTTTAAGACTTCTGATAGATTACATTTTCAAAAAAGAAAATAGTTTTTTTTTTACTTTTTTTTTTCAAACATCACTGTAAAAATTTCATTATTTCGTCCAATTTTTTCACTATTTCAACAACAAAAAATTTTTTTTTACAAAAATTCCAAAAGTGTTCTATCAGTTTTATTTGAACATATATAAAGAGTAACTGGAGCAAATTTAGTTCAGTTCTGATAATTATTAACAAAGTTATTTCAACAATTGTACAAAAAAACATCAAACTGAGAAAAACGCAAAAAACTAACAAAAAGTTGCAAAAAATGAAAATTTATCGCTGTATGTCACTAAAATCGACCACATTTATAGCCTGAAGTTTGGTGCTGCTGAATATATTCCTTCTGAGCTTGTTCGGCTGTTAGTTTTATTTTTTTCTGGCGCTCTTTGTTTTACCTAGAGTTGTAGTAAAGCTGTTGTCATGGCGTCTTTTTTCGCGTCCTTCACTGAGTCTTCGACTATGGTTTCCTTCTTTTGACAGCAATGCCATAACATGCCTGGGCCCAAAATTGAATTATGCTATCACAGAAACAGAAGTATATTTTGCATGGTCTCATGTCTAAAGCCAATTATGATAAGACGATGTCTTTGTTTATTGTGAAAGGCCTTGTTCTGGATTCTTTTGCAGTTGTATACTTACGGTTTACAACATTTTTATTACTGCCACACCATGCTTGAAGCAAACCCTTTACACTTTTTTCATCAATAGTAGCCACTACATCACATGTATTGATAACATCAAGAAGCAAATCACAGTCGACAATAATTCTGCATGGCTGTGGTTTACAATTAGTACTACCAGTACGAGATGTAACAGTGCTTTCTTCTGTCTGTAAAAACTGTGTCTTACATTGCCGCAGTTTCTTAGTAAATGTGCATATTACATCTGCACCAGTGCTTGTCTGAATAGTGCTAGATTGAGTGGAGGTAGCTGCAATCAGTTGCATTCGGACGTGCCCTAGCTTTAGTAAATTAGTTAGATGTGTGTAGTGTATCTATTTTTAGCGAGTGTTTTGTTCTACGCATTATCGAAAGAGAAACAAATTAAATCGCCTCACTGCTTATGATAATTCACACAAACTAATCTAAACTGTTAATAGTATATTTAATTGAAATAATTATATGTTAAACTAATGTAAGTATTTTACAGAAGCTTAGAGAAACAAAACTAGATCAAACTTAGCAACGCGCTGAAACTAAGGGAATGTTTACTTACGAAGCGAAACGACCAATCGCTAACTAGCTTCCGCCGCCGTATGCCAATGAAAAAATTGAGGTAAAAAATTTGCATACCGGAAAAACCCGACTGAGTAAAATAAACAACTTTATGACGTAGAAAAATAATCACATTAAAATAGGTATTTTGATTGGTCATTTAATTTTAGAACAAATAAAGAAAGGAGGTCACGGCCTTTCCATTGATATGAAACACATTAGGTTTCCGCGAAGCCTAATAGTACTTTTCTAGGTCGAAAAATTGCTATTTTTACTAAAAAATTAAACAAAAGACCCTGTACACACTACATTGAACCCGGTTTTTCATAATTAAATACTAATTTTAGGGTCATAACAATGTCATTTTTAGATTCAACGATGGTTATTCTGTATAGATCAAGTAAAAGTGGGAAATCGATGATTTAGTGGATTTATGACGAAAAGTACACCCGCCCATGCCCTTAACCCAATTTTTGCTTGCTATAGTGTGATATTAGTTGTATAAATCCTGGATGGTTAGATTTTGTCCTATTTTTAATTCTTACAGTTGGCTTTCATGGTTTTAGTTTGGCATTAATTTATTATTTGTTCTTTTGAATTGGCTTGGTAAATGATTATTTAAATTTCATTTATGAGGAGAAAAATGTCAACGCACAAGTTGTTTTAAAAAAATTAGTTTTTCTTCTCATTTTCATCCTCCGTCATTGGATATCATTTAATGTTTTAAAAAAATCATTTAGACCATAAAAGTGAATAACTTTTTGTCTTGTTCTGGTCTTGTAGGAAGCTAGGCTTGGTTTTTTTCTTGAACTAGGTGTAGCTTGTGTTGTATATGAATTGTTTCTCTCCTAGTCACTACATGTTGCCCGGTTCATCAGCTCCATATTTGACTAGGTTAAATATGGCTTTTGTTACAGAAATATTTTGCTTTTTTAGTCTAATCAGAATGTTATTAGTTTAAATAGGTTCCACATTGCTTTTTCCATACATATATGTGCCATAACTTCCAAGGGTATGTGAAAATTTTGTACATAGTTTACACAGTTTGTCTAGAATATTTATGGTCCATGTGCGCCAGATATTTTATTTACATTTTTGCAAGAATGTAAGGCTGTCAGTGGCCTCTTTCTCTCAATTTTTACATATTTCTAAAGTTATTTATAGCTTTATCTAAGTGTCAAATATTTTCTTTACTTAAAACTTAAAATCACTGTATTGAACCTACAGTTTCAATATTTTTTACTATTTACTTAAACTTGGTATTGAATTGAATGGACATACCTTTCATATGTCTACGAATCATTTTTAAAAATAACCCCTATTAACCCTTAAAACTTAACGCTTTACACATTTCTTGCCACGCCCTCTGGATTTTTTGTGGACCATTGTTGCAGATTTCTCTAGATTTTAGATAACATATCAACTTTGATTTTTATTTTTAAAATTTATATCAGCAGTAGCTGAGGATTTTTTAAAAGGTTGAAATTTGTACAGATTGTATGATTTGTTTAGTCTAAAACATAATTTTTTTCATCACACAAGGTTGAGTGTTGCTGTCATACAATGATGTAACTTGAGTGATTGGCTAGAATTCATCACATAAGGTTGAGTGTTACGTAACTTGAGTGATTGGCTAGAATTCATCACATAAGGTTGAGTGTTACGTAACTTGAGTGATTGGCTAGAATTCATCACATAAGGTTGAGTGTTACGTAACTTGAGTGATTGGCTAGAGTTAACGTACGGGTAGGGCGTAACATTTTTGTTTCAAGTAGTCCCATGTTAACTGTGATTCTTCCATATCCATGTACACAATTTTCGCATTTTTACTTTGTTCTATTATATCACTGTTTTTTTTTTAGTTACATCCCTTTGGGTGAAGAGTTATATGAATTGCATCCCTTTGATATATGATTTTATTGAATGACTTCCCCTTTTGTTTACTACCATCTCCCATCACTACTTGACGCCCACTTTGATTGTCCCTGCTACAGCTGTTTACTCTGTGGCACCACACAATACAGACACTGCTGGTATCAGTTGTACTCTATACTTTGTTATTCAAAGTTTTCTCTAGTTGTACTGCTAATATCTAGTTTTCCTTATTAAGAGGTGATTCTCACCACAGCATTAGATGAATGTCTTGTATTTACTTGAGTTTTTTTCTTTACAATTTTTCATATGTTGTGTCAGGCTGAATCACTATCTGCTGTTCACTTACCCTGGGTTGTTTAATGAAAGTGAATTCACTTGTACATGAAATGTTTAACAGTGAATTATTTTTTTTTTACAATCCCAAATCAAACTAGTTGATCTTTAAGCTACTGCACTACAGTTGATGATATATGTTGACCAATGAAGTATTTATGTTTTAGCATCATACTGTTGTCTCATAGATTTTTTTTTTTTTTTCATGAAGTCTAATGCTGAATGGAGATTTATTAGGTTCCTAAGATGTTTATTGTATGAATAAAGTTGTAAGGCTGGTAGTATCAAAGCCAAGCGGGTCAGTTATTCTAGTCACAAGATCGTGTTCCAACTCTAGTTCACAACAACTAATTCAATCTTTAGTTTATCACAACAACTAATTCAATCTTTAGTTTAGAAAATTTAACTCTTAATAGAGGTAACAATAAGTTGTTGGATGATGTGTAAAAAATTCTAGCTATAAATTGGATACGGTCACAGTAAATAATATGATGGGTAAAAAAAACTAGCTATAAATTGGATAAGGTCACAATAAATTATATGATGGGTAAAAAAAAAACTAGCTTTAAACTGGATAAGGTCACAAAAAAATTGTATGTATACAAAAATTAGCTCTAAATTGGATAAGGTCACAATAAATGATATAATGGGTAAATAAACAAATTGCTTTTTTTTAATTATTAGTTGCCCATGAGTTGATGGCTTCTATTTTGTAAATATGGCATTGCTGATTGATAAAATTATTTTAGTTTTTAAGTTTAACTTTTTTTTTTTTTTAATTTTAGTAATGGCTTAAATAATTTTCCCACTTTGTGTTTTTATTTTTTTTTTACCATTTAGTTTGTGTATGTTTTAATGACCAACACAACTTATTGCAGATTACATTTAGAAAGACATCTTAAAAGTGTTAATATCATGTGATTTGTGTGTTTGGCTCATCATTGGGATCACCTTCTATGAACATGTAATACAAATTCAATAGTTAGCAAATCTCACAAAATCACCAAATATTGTCCTACAACTACTGCCAAGTCACTTAAAGACTGTAACAGTGGAGATTTAGTTCAGAACTGTGTATATTTTATTGTGTAA